ATCAATAACATTTTTTTGTCCAAATGCACAGATTGCCACCTTTGATAATAGACGACTCAAATGTCCCCATAGCAACTAACAATTATATGTATGTGTTAGCGTTAATTAGTGTTAATATAGTGCTAATATAATGCAATGATGATACGTCAGTCTCGGGATTGTCGGGCTGTCGATAGCACGTTAGGTTGTAATCCCAATATACGTTAGTCACTTAACTGAACACGTGTCTTATTAATCCTTGCTCGATATAGAGACTCAACACAATCATAGTTACTAGTTACATAATTAAAATAACTTTTACAGTTTAGTCTTGCGTTGGTTACTGTCATTCTATTATTTTTTACGTTTTGAATACTTTAGTTTTCGTGGTCACGCGGACGACGTAAACACACGGAAATAATATCGAGAGACTATTTATTTTAAGCGACATTTCTTAATAACTAATAATATAACTTTACAGAAGAGCCAATTAAAGTTTAAAATTTGGAAAATATCTATTAAACAAAAAAAATCCTCAGCTATTTTAATGGAGTAAACTTAATTGAAGTTCGAATAAAAAAATTCGAATGGTTGATAATAATACCCAATACAACGCACCTTTATTTACAAAAATAAATGTCGCGTATTAAGGAAATGTCGCTTAAGCCTAATAGTCTGTCATCCCTCGATATAATATCAATAGGAAAAAGGCAGATGACATCTTAAAAGCAGTTTTGATTATATCTACGACTAGCGATCCGCCCTCACTTCGCTTCGGAAATTGTAATTTATTATTGAATTCTCCACTATTTAATGGATGTTATTATACATAATAATATAAACTTGCCTCTTCAATCACTCTATCTATTAAAAAAAACTGCATCAAAATCCGTTGCGTAGTTTTAAAGATTTAAGCATACATAGGGACAGACAGATATAGGGACAGAGAAAGCGACTTTGTTTTATACTATGTAGTGATTCGTGTAAACGGAGCAAAACACTGTAATTTCTATACAAAAGTGGTTATTTATAGTTTTTACTATATTATGATCATCGTTGATTACTGAATGATATTATTATAATGATAATGGCAGACGAGACGATTGTTGGTATTAGCAAAACCAAGAGCAGTTAAATCTTTCGAATCAAGTTTCAATATAGTTTCAATACAATTGAAACCTCGACTCAGAAGAAAAAAAATAAGACGATTAAATTTTTTTTAGTAGTAACTAGGTTTTTTTAGTAGGCTAGTAAGCCGGCCCGGCAGACTTCGTGGTGCCTCAATCGAGAAATAAAAGACCTAAACTTTTGTATAAAATAAACTTAAAACAAACAAAAGGAATCCGTCCAACGGGGGACACATCAAAGGGAAAACAAAATTGTTATTTTTATTTAATTCCGAGCATTTTCATATATATCTTCCTTTTAAACCTTCTCTGGACTTCCACAAATAATTCAAGACCAACATTAGCCAAATCCTTCTAGCAGTTCTCGAGTTTTAGCGAGACTAACGAACAGCAATTCATTTTTATATATATAGAAGATTACTATAATCGTTTGTAAATTATTCAGTTATTTTGATAACGATCAATCGTTTTGTATTCGGCTAATTTTAATTCTGAGCGGGCAATACCGAATGGAGATGCGTTAGTCATTGCGTGCGAATGTCAAATTAAATTTGTTCTATAGTCGACAGCGGTCGCACGTGGTGTTCATACACAAACTTATTGGCTCTAAATCACTGATTATTATTGTAATTCCTGATTTCGTAAGTAATTTAACGGTCTGTATAACTAAAACAATTAGAAGTCTCAACGCAAGGACTTTTGTTGTCTTTAATTTACTAATCAACAACCACGTGCTAGAGCTCGGCCTTTTTTATTTATTTTTTATTGCATAGATGGATGGACGAGCTTATAGTTAGAACGGGTGCTTCACCCTTCAAGCCGAAACGCATTACTGCTTCGCGGCAGAAATAGGCAGGGCGGTGGTACCTACCCGCGCGGACTCAAACGAAGTCCTATCACCAGTAAAAACCGGCCTCTCGATAAATAAAACTGATCTTTAATAAGTTTAATTTAATAGGTTTATACGTAGCAGTTGGTGAGTTTCGGTGAGATAAGGTCCCATTTCATGGTACATACAGGGTATGCGTCTTTGATAAGATCGCCTCCTCGTCTATATGACAACTATGAAACAATAACTAACCACTAACCACTAGCTCAGGAATTAACGTTTGCGATAATCACACTAATAGATGAAGTTAGTCATTGACTCGTTGGAAAATTGAGACTTGTTTTAGTAAACGTCGTATTCCTGACTACTGTAAGAGTGTTTGAATCTCTTTCCATATCGACGAGTGAACTGTTAAAGGTTATTTGTTTAAGCGACATTTTTACAACTTTACATGAGAGCCAATTAAAGTTTACATTTTGGAAAAAAAATCATAGAAAAAAAACTTTTTCAACTATTTCAATGGAGTAAGCTCAATTGAAGAAGCTTAAGAAGTTTAATAAATAAAATGCATTTTTAATTACAATTATAGCTGTAGCGTATTTATTAAGCGAAATGTCCCTTAAACCAAATAACCTTTCACTCCTCGATATATTTAAAGCTGACTGCAAAACACAATGTGTGAGTATCTATATATTAATACGTGAAGCAAAAACTTTGTACCCCTTTTTACGAAAATTGCGCGGACGGAGGAGTATGAAATTTCTCACACTTATAGAGAATATAGAGAAGGAGTGCACAGTGTTAATATTTTTTTTTAAATAATGCATAAAAGATACCTTAAATCAATAAAGAAAACATTACACACACTACAATGTATTTGACACAACAAATACATAAAAATATACTCTTTGTTTACTGTCAATTGGGAAACTTTTGTTATTGCTTAAAGTCTGTGGTCGAATTGAAAAAAGATTAATATTGTTTGTCTTTAATATTATTGATCTATAGTGCAGTTTTGGCGAATACTGTGATTATATTATCGAAATATAATAGTGTTTGACAATAGAACCATAATAATGTTTAAACTTAAAATTTCAATTAATTATAGTGGAATCTCGACTACTGCGGGGCCACTAGTTCCTATAATAAGACCTTAATATTCGGGCCGTATTTTTAATATTTTGTATTAGCGTCATTCGGTTGATGGACAAAGGTATGCCTGTTGAATTTCAATACGACCGAATTAATGCAATTCTACTGGTGGTAGGACCTCTTGTGAGTCCACACGGGTAGGTACCACCACCCTGCCTATTTCCGCCGTGAAGCAATAACGCGTTTCGGTTTGAAGGGTGGGGCAGGCGTTGTAACTATACTGAGACCTTGGAACTTATATTTCAAGGTGGGTGCCGCATTTACGTTGTAGATGTCTATGGCCAGTAACCACTTAACAGCAGGCAGGTTGTGAGCTCGTCCACCCATCTAAGCAATAAATAATAAAATTCGTTACTCGAAAAATCGTCATCTTTGTAGCATCTTCCTTTTTTATCTATTCTGTTAGTGACGTCACATATAACACTTTCCGATCTTCCGTTGTTCAATTATTAAAACCTAATTTAGTTCTTATTCCATAGTATATTTTAGAAACGCCTCTTGTATGTGATCTCGCCATAATTGAGAGCTTTATCAAAGCTAGACTGGCTAAGTCTTTCAGAACTGAACGAGTCTGCAGCCTAATCCTAGATTAGGTTTCTTTATACTTAGGTCGATGCTCTGATAGAATCCTCGTGTGGTTTCGTACAAAAAATTGTTGAAGATTTTAAATTGTTTTTTTTTGTATATCTCCAACTTTAATTTTGGGTTTTTATATCTTTTTTTTAAATATAAATGTTGATCTTATTATCTATGAATTATCTATTATTTTATGGTTTCCCTGGTTAAAGAAAACTGAAGCTTTCAGTATATTGAAAATAAAAGAAGAATTCGGCTTAGGTATATTTTGTATTTTTTAAGTGTATCGTTATACAATCTATACATGTCTAAATTATATCAACTATAAACTTATCTGTATAAGTTTGATAAGAAAAAGATAGTTATTACTATATTCTTAAGTTTAATTGGGCTATTTTAATATCGAAAAATAAATTACCGTTTTGTTTTTGTGTTAAATTAGTTATGTTAGTCTGTTTTTTGCTTTGAAGGTTACGTATTTCACTGTTAAACTTATTTGCCTACTAACTGAAGACATATAATAATTATTTATTTATTTATTTATTTATACTGTATGCACAAAATAAAACTTGTACACAGGCGGACTTAATGCCATGAGCATTCTCTTCCAGTCGACCATTACACATTTACTGGTTTTACGTAATTAAACTATTTACTTGTCATTCAGATTTGATGTTTTCATACACATAAAAAATACGTTTAAAACACGTTCAAAATTATTCACTTGACAAAAAAGAGGATTGTCTTTGTTCACGGTTTTTGTTGACTCAAAGGTGTCTGCCATATTTTATATTTGAAAATGGAATGAATTACAAACAAGGCGGGAAACGTAACGCGCGTGCGTACTATCCGGAACAGCTGAGCGGCATCCATGTTGCTTTTGTCATAGAATCCGCTAAAGGTACCCAGGAGGTACTAGAAAAATACGCTTTGGCATGAAAATACTACATACCTGCGTTTGTTCAATAAGTTTGAGAAGTTAGTCAATTGCTAATTTTATCGTAAATAAGTATTTTAAAAACAAAAAATGCTAAAGATGATTTTGGTATTGAGATGAGTAAATAATCACTGCTTATGTGTTTAACACTATTTCGTGTTCAACACTAAAATAAAAGTATTATTACACAAAACGATCTCTGTTCGAATTCTAAATTCAAAATCGAATAACAATAAATCACGATAAAATAATATAATATTATTACCTGTTTTAAAATCCTCAAAAATTATGGTTCGAATTTAGAACTATTTGATTTTTTTTTTAAATCAACATTCACATGCGTCTTTATATTTGAAAATAAAAAAATAAAAATAAAAAAAGGAACGTATGGTGTACTTACTGGTGGTTGCTATGAATTAGAAGGATCTGTTTTCTTCAAGAATTGTCCTCGTTTCTCAGCGAATTCCGCGCTCAGTCTGTGCGCCTTCAGCGTGTTAGGTTTAGACATATTAAACACTTATCACTAAACCGATTACTCCCGAATTGACGATTGATCAAAAATAAACACTATACGATCGTGTAATAAACTAGTTTTTCGTTGTTAGTTATAGGCCGAAATACGTTTTTATATCACAATGTTGAGTGCACGAAGCCACCAAAAAGCGATGCTTTCTTATCTAGAACACAAATAAATTAATAAAGAATTCTTATTGATCAAAAGTATTTCTATACCAGACACTGTTCCCGTGTGTCTTCGATAAGCCGCGTGCACTTAAATATAAGCGAATGTTAAACTAATTTATAAATTATCGATATTTTATTTAATGAGACGGATTTTTTACGTTTCGTATTTAATATTACATTTAAATAATGATTCGAAATTGTTATGTATTTACAGTATTGGGACGAAGTTGATGCGTTCTGTGGCTTGGTTTATGTATTTGAAGTTGGTCGCGTTTGTGTACGCATGCGCGGAAGGGTGGCCGAAACGCTCCATTGTTGCCAGACTTTTCGATAAAAAGATCAAATAAAAACTATTTATTGATAAACGCGTTTTATTGTTGTGAGATAAAGTTTGTTTTTGTTTGATGGGTGATGTCAGGGGTCGTTCGGTAGGGTTGGAATTCAATAGGGTTACGTCATAAGGCACGGTAAACATTCCGCGTGCAATCAGTACTATTATTATTATCGTGTCGCACGTGATTTTAGTATGAGTTATCGTTAGCGAAATCTTTAGTTACACATGCGAGAGAAATAGCGAGATGATCCACGCATCTTAAAAATAATGAGTATTTGTGGGGTAGGTGTATTTGTAGTATGGTTGAGAAAGATCAATTTGGTTTTTTTTTATTAATGACCATACAGTTTGTTAATAAGTATTATAACAAAAGTTATAAACCGAGGCGAAAAAGGTACCTAGCTGTTCTGTAGTTCAACATTTTTAAATTTGTTACCAACGCGTTCTCAAGTATAATCTTTTTCACGTTATCATGGAAGATACCGATTGATTAATGATTTTTTTTACGCACTAAGGTCTTTCTGGTTTTGAATTACGAGAGCCCATACAGCGTCACAGCATGAGTATCGCATTCGTGAGGTCGAAATCTGAACTATACTGCGTGCATACAATCGAAGCCCTCGAACCTAAGTGCTTCGCGACAGAAATATACAGCACCCTTGTTTTTTTTTATATATGAAAGATTACTGGTGGCCCAAAGGCCTTTCCAGTTTCACCAGGACACGTGGGCGAACAAAGGCTCAGCCAAAGAACCCGAGTGTGGCATACATTAGAAAAACCCACTCTGTTTTCCTATGCGGGGGCTAGTAACATATTTCTCGACCAAACTCCTAGTCACCGTCCTCGCCGGTCACCGTCCCCGTCGAACCCGTCGCTTGCGACGAAGGGCTCGAAGAGTGAATTAACCCATAGACATAGCCCCCTGAGTTTCTCGCCGGATTTTCTCAGTAGGTCGCGTTTCCGATCCGGTGTTAGATTCTGCGAAGCACTTCTCTTGCTAGGGCCAGCGTTAGCAACACTCCCGGTTTGTGCCCCGTGAAGTCACCTACACGTCAAGGAGAAGCTGAAATAGCCTCTCAAGGCTATCAGCATAGGTAGGAAAAAACCTGAGTGCTTGGCGAGAGAAACACACAGTAGTACGAACCCGAGTGTGCTATACATTAGAGAAGCCCACTCCGTTTTCCTATATCAAGACTAGTTATATATTTCTCGACCAAACTATAACGTTTCGCGTAGGAACGATAAAATTCCCTAATGGTACGCTCTATTGCTTTGAATCGGTGGCATGCATATAAAACGTACATTCATATGCATATATTTAAGTACTTTCAAAACATTACTGAGGAATACATTAAAATTTAACACACATTTTTCTACCTTATCGTAAATTCGCATTTATTTTGTGTGTATGTAGATTTTATTATAATAAAATGCGATGACGACTTTTTCTGCCAGATACACAGGATATGCGATTTTAAGCATGGGTAAGTCTTTCTTGTCATGGCAGAAAGGATCCTTCAAGATCTTTTTTGCCACGGCACCATCTGGCTTTGGAATGAACGTTTCCCGAGCGCTATGACATGTCCTTCTTCAAACGAGGCTTGCGGAGAGTATTTAATGGTAGGCAGCGGCTTGGCTTTGCCCCCGCATTGCTAACGTGCATGAGTGACGGTAACCACTTACCATCAGGTGGGCCGTATGCTCGTTTGCCTACAAAGGGAATAAAATAAAGAAAAAAGTTTTCACTTCATCGGGTGTTAAGCGCGCGTTGACATCCCGAGAGATATGCTATGCCACTAATCATCTTGACACATGAGAGCAGTCTTAAATGTTGTGCAACGGTTGCTGTGTTTAATGTAGACAGTGTCTCAGTTCTGACTCTGGCATTGCTGATGTCCATAAGCAGCGGTCACTACATATCACCATTAAGCCATTAAAGAATCCTTCCAATACAAATAGGCGAGATTTCCCCGAGCCGTACTCACAATACCTACGTTCTGACAACAAGACAGTAGACATTATCAAAAACCACCTATGTACGTTCTGAAAAATCAAATGCAAATGCTACTTTATTAAACAAGCATACATTTACTTTTCCAATGGCAAACTCTTTCCTACGAAACTTTACACACTGAAAAAAAAAACGATATCGACCATCATATCTATTCTACTTTAAATTATTGACAGTTACGTTACTGAAAGAGAATATTTGAATGTTTACCTCATAAAATACTTAAAATAGTGATATATTAAAAGCAATACTTAAACAATTAATATCGCGTTATGAATGAGAAAAGTGAGTCATACACACATAATCCGGCAATTCATAAAATCAATAAAGACAATCCCCCACGTCGGACAGAATGCACTTGTGTGCGCTCTTAACGTCCCTGTACGGTCAACGAAAAAACCATGTTATTTTATTATATTAATATTATTTACTATAGGGTCACTGTACCTGTGCTATTTTAAAATATGGTGTTTCGATTTTAACCATGTGAATATCGGCCATCATCTTCTGCATCATCAACCGAGATGATGACTTCAAATTATCAAGCCAGTATTAATTTAAAATTACACATAATTAATTATACATAATAAATACTTTACAGTTTAATCTTCTGTTTTCGACGTGATAACGGCTTATATATCGATGAGCGCCGGCTACACGCACGAAAAAGTGTCACGTTCCGCTTGAGGCTAAGCGTGCAAGTGAGAGCGCAGAATAAGCGATACAGAGGCACGATCGACCCAAGCGTTGGCTTGTCGCACATTTATTATGTCTCTTCTCGTGTGACATCAGAGCTAGCAGTTCGAATAGTTCTACTACTGACGTCATCACGTAAGACTATCAATCGCAAACTGACTTAAAAAACTTACATTGCCGATGTTTCGAATAGTTTTTTTTTGTTTTTGGTCACGCACCCCTAAGGTGTTATTCGTTTAGCATTTGAATATTGTAATAATACCGTCTAAGCCTCTATAATAATGTTCCTATTGAAATATAATTTAATTTTAGTTGAGTCGACGAGGAGGTGGGAAATGTGATGAAATTAGTACAAAGCTACATAGACACGGCAATATAATATTTTATGTTTTTCTTATTTATGGTCGTCAAAATAGCTTACCGTAATGGTTATGGTACATTTTGTGAAATATATTTGAAGATTGATGATTGAAGATGATTCAAGAAGGACACTAACACGAAAATAATGATTTTCCATTTATGAAAATCTAAAAACCTTTTTCCCCCGCTAAAGCGTTCGAAGCAATCGTCTGACGTTGATGACGCCACAATCACTTATAATCGTTTATTCTGATGCTATTATGTCAAATGGGACACCCTGTAAACATGAGCATGATAGGAAACATAAAGTTGTCAAAAAGCATTTTTAAATATTTAAAATTTAAATTACGTTCTAAATTTTCAGACCAATCGTATCTCAAAATAAAAAAAAAAAACTTTATTTTTACGTTTATAGCAACCTTTATCACCTATGACGTTTAAAACTGTATTAAGAAATGGAAGAGGAATTTTAAATACATTTTATATAATAATTATTTGTTATTCTGTCCGTACATTTCACCCTCGACCCAGCCACGTAATCCGCGTTTAGACTTCCCCCATACCTCAGTTGTCAGCGCGTCTCCGACGAAATGCTCCACACAAGGCTGTTTTACGACTTGTCTTCAAATCGTTGACATAGTTCTAAAATAATTTCAGCGTGATGCCCAAGGTCTATGGCAAGATCTTGCTTTTATGATTTGAAGGTTACAATTTCAGTGACTTACATGTGTACACACGCACGCAAATGCATTTCATTTTTATGTTTAAAATTTTGAAACAAGGTTTAATGTAATTTATTTACACCTTTTAGTTTCTTATGTATTTTTGTCTACTTCCATTTTTCATACTTTTAATACCATAGGCGGATAGATGAAGATGTCATACTATCCTCGTGCAGCTATTGCCAACATAAATTGTTTATTAATTCTTAATCGTATATTTGGTACTGTTGGTCTATTCTGATAGATCTCTTTGAATATTGTCAATGATTTTGAATTTTCCTAGATGACGATGGTTAGATAAGGGACGGACGTGATGGACGAGATTGCTTTTAGCGATAAGACCACCCGTTGTATGAATTATACCTACCTTGATGTGTTTTCAATGTTTTTGTTGGTAATAAAGTATATTTTAGATCTCTCTTTCTCTTTGGCCGAGAGAGCAGATAGTTGCGACGTCGATAGTCCATACATGACAAAATTCTAAAGTTTTCCAGCTATAGGTTAAATTTTCAGCATTCTAAGCTGATTTTTTCTTGAAATAAGCTGAAATTTTATTTCTTAAATACGACAATAATGTCCTAATAGTGTATTACGACACAAAATTGATAATGGTCGCCCTCAAAAAAAAACCTATTTAAATTTAATACGATTCTATAGAAACTTACGACAACACCTTTTTTTTGTTGATAGCCAAAACAGAGATGACGAGGGTCCTACGTCAGACAAAGGGCGGGCCCTGACAATGTCACGATTAATGAAACCTCCTCTGACCCAGTGACTAAACAATTTTCCACTACAAAGGGGAGCCACGGGGAAAAAATTCAATGAAATCGCAGCCGTCGAGATTTTTTTGTTCCTTGATTCGGTGATAAACATGCCTAATGACAAATATCAGATGAGAAGCCAGTATTTAATAGCTTCTTTGTTACCTAGTTGATACCTTGTGATCTAAGTGTTACCTAAGTGATCAAGCGTTACCGTCTGACAGGCAGTTTTCCAACTGAGATTTCAGGTTTGATGGTGTCTATGCTTATTATGTCGGTACTTGAACCATTGTACATTGGTTCGCTTGCGGACTAAATAAAAATAATAATAATAATAATGGTTGG